ATCATATAAATTCTATAGTTAGTATTGAAAATATCTAACGAATAAAGTTTCTTATATGATATGTTGAAGGGTACATGAGACGCCACGTAGGAGACAATTCGAGGAGAAACAAATCTTGTGTTTAAGAAAAAAAGATTCGAAAGAACACACACCTTCGTATTAATTGGTTCGTCTACAATGGTAGGTTCCTCGCATGTCCACACCCTTTTAAAGTTTGATGTGAACTAATAATGTTAGATTCTTCCAAAAATAATAATGCATGTTAGATTTCCATTATTTAGTAATGACTACTATTTTCTTGTTTCTTTTGTGTGTGGGTATTTTCGATATGAATATTGAAGAGCCGTGCACGGAGGGACAAGCCTGCGAAGCAAGAACCGACATGTACGGACCAACAACAGATTAACACTATATATCACTCACCTTTTTTAGGTAAATTAAACCACATCCCCTAACTATCAAAACAGAAGTAGATTTATTAACTTAGCTTAGGTGTTTTAATTTGGTTGGTTTTAAATAATGACATGGTTGGAAAAATTAATGATATGGATACCACTTGAATTAATTAAATATATCAAAATCAAACAAAAAGAAATGAAAAAATTAAGTATTTATTAAATAATTCATAATTAGTATTTGTTGGAGATTAAATACGGTAAATGACAAACAAAATAAATTTTGTATAACAAATTTGCTATAACAATCCCCGCGAATGGTGTATACATTAAATTGACCCACGGACATCAAATGATGATGTTGTTTTTCATCGATGGGTACATAAAAATCCATGAAAACATGAGCAGATTAATCAAACATTTATCAAACTGAAATTTTATAAGTATTGTTTTCACTTCAATATATATTTMTAAAAGCTACTTAAGTTGCAAACATTTATCAGTGAACCAATCTCAATATACCAAACCGAGCTAACAATTTTCATGATCCAATAATCACAATTAAATATCAAACTCCTCACCGTGTATATTTTTATTTTAGAAAAACATAACTAAATCGAACTTTATTTTTTATCGAAGTTTATTCCTAAAAAAAAGTTCTTTCAAATACGAAACTAAACAAAATTATAAAATTCAAGATTTCCCTATAAAATCTTTTGATTCCGATTTATAAAAAAAGAAGAGAATAATACCATCATAAAACCATCAAAGGAATATTACGTTTCTATTTTTTTAATAAACCAACTCAATTCGTTACAACAGATAAAATTATCTGCAAAAAGAATCATTTTGTTTTTTTTAAAATTTCTCTTTTTTTAAAGTTTATATTTAGATATCAAATGATTTTGTTTCTGATTTTAATATAATTTTAAGGAAAAAAATATCACTTATACGTTTTTGGGTTTTTAGAGCCTAGATGGAATATTCTAATACATATCCTAAAATAATATCTAATAAAAAAAAATATACCCTCTTCTAACTCTCTATATATATAGATCAAAACCTTGCTGCCTATTTTCTCAAAAACTATCATAATGTCAATCATAGCAAAACAAAACTTTTCATTAGTACTCTTTCAGAATATTTTGATATCTTTGAAAACCAAAAATCAAAGCTCAAATCCTTGTCTTGTGGAAATCCTTAATGTCCACAGGAAATTCCATTGAAATGGTATTGGTAGATGAAGAGGTTAGTTATTAGTATGACGATTTTATATTTTTATTATTTTTTCTATCCAATTATACTTCATTTTCAATTTCACAATGCTTTGTTCCTTCACGATTATGCTATTAATCRAATTAGGTTTTCTTTAAAAAAATTTTGCTCATTCATGACGTRGCCATATCRAATGTTGGTATTATTAAAAATATTATTTTACGTKGTATTAGTTAATATGAATTCTTTCATAACAGGTTATTAACTGACAATCAACTTGTCATGCATAATGATAAGAGTAATTGGTCGTGTGTTTTCACCCATATTTATACATGGATGAATTCTTTGTAAAAAATGTTAGGGTGACTTTAAAAGGAATAACTAAATCCAACGAGGTACGAAGAGTTTCCGTTTGATTTTTTATATATTCTACACATTTTATAAAAACTATTATYTAYTAATAKAAAAATCACTTTTATCAGGYCGRRAYATRTGTTAAWTRTRCCACAATTAARTCTATCGATGTTGCAAAGAACTGGTATTATTTCTCTTGCAAATGTAACAACAAGGTTCAAGAATATGGGGAAGACTCTAATGATCTGGATGCAAAATCTCTATACAACTGTGAAATATGTGGTGATTTTCATAATATTTAACTTTTTTTTTATTAGAAATCTCATTTCCATACTTATTTATGTTTTATGATGTAGATACTATTTGGTTTTACGTGTCTCCGATGAATCAGAAGCCGAAGCAAAATTTTTGTTTTTCAACGAAATGGCTTCTAAACTTCTCAAGAAACCTTCTGCTAGACTTACTATGGAAGTTCTTCAGGTATTGTTTTTAAATACGGATATATAGGTTAA